TTCCGCTGCCGTTAGGAGCGGAGCAGCAGCAGCTGTTTGCCTGGCGGAGGCTGTGATGCCTCGGAAGGGAGCTGTGTCCTATGGCCTCTTTTGCCTTCGCTTCTTAAAAAGAAGGTGGAAAGGGAAGTCTGCTTTCCTGGCTAGGGTAGAGTTGTGGGGTGTGTGTGTGGGGGGGTTCCCCTTTGTCGACCCTGCTCCAGGAAACATCAATAACTACTTCCTCGCAGAGAGGTTTTGATCACCGAAGCCCTGTGGTAGTTGTGCCATTCTCCAGGCGAAAACTGAAACCAGAGCCCCTAAGACTCTAAATGTTACGAGCGTATTACGGTTTTTGTTTTGGGGAGGGTTTTTTTTTTTTTTTTTTTTTACAGAATTCAATCGTTGTGACTTACATGATTTAAAGATGGTATATGAAAGGCAAGCATCTGATCAGAACTGAAGAAACACTATTATTTCATGTGTAGAATTGTAAGCACTTTTTTTTTATTATCAGCTTGAAGACGAAAACTGAATATTAACTCAGTGGTAGCAAATGAGATCACTGGGCTTTTTGCAGCCTGGCCATATGGCTGTTTTGCTCTTGGGTAGATAAATCACAGCATCCCCCAAAGCACAGGTGCAGCTGCTGCACTGACTAGGTGAAGTCTTCCTGAGATTCTTACTTCTTCCATGCTTTTCTCCCAAGTCACCCTTCCTACCTAATCTGCACCTTGTTTGACAATTGCTGCCATAGGTAATGGGAAGCCTAGGATCATTTTGTGATGGGTTGCCTCTTCTAAGTTAAACTTTAAGATACTTTTTGACAAGGTAGAATTCCAGAGTTGCTGTCTTTCTACAGCCCAAGAGATTGTTATGGTAGATGAAGGAGTCCGTTCGTCTCTGTTCATCAAATAAAGAGTTGTAGTGCTCAGAAGTTGCGTCCTTCACAGTTTCTGTAAACTGTAGAAACGAGAGTGGTAGTTTCTGAGTTTTCTCGCTCGTATGCGTACTTGTCGGAGCAGAGGTGACCCTTTGCTATGACGCTGCACTTTAATTCAAATATTATCCAAGAACATCAATTTATTCCAATATTGTTAAGCTGTATGTGATTTGGGTATCAAAGTTTTCATGGGGTTGGACCCCTTCTCTTCCTCTCATAGTTGAACAGAAGGCACTGTCTGTGCATATCCACGTGATGTTTGAAGACCGGCTTTTTTATTACATTGAAAATGTTGGCAAGGGACTACATTCAAAGAGGTTCCTGCAAAGCATTGATGATAATTTCTTGACTCAGGTGGTGGAGACGCCAACGAGGAGAGGTGCAATGCTAGATCTTGTACTAACAAACAAAGAAGGTCTAGTTGGAGACGTGAAGGTTGGGGGCAGCCTTGGCCGCAGTGACCGTGAGATGGTGGAGTTCAGGATCCTACGAGGAGGGAGCAGGGCAATGAGTAGGATTGCAAC